CATGGAGTAGATCTTGGCTGTTTTGGGCGCCTGTTTCAAGCAGGTGGAGTCCCCCCCAGAGGACGCACGGTTCCAAACAGTCGCAGTAAGCAGAGGTCAGGAGCCAGACCCGCCCCCGCTCTTCCCCCCCCTCCGCCCAATGTCGAAACGCCGAAACGCTCACATGTGGCTCTGACGTGTGTCTTTGCCTGGCTCGTTGTACAGTCACTTGGGCATTCCGCTGGCACGCTCTTTGGCTACGTTCGTCTATCGATGCATTCTCCTTTGTGCGCCATTTCTTCCTCGCTTGCGGCGGATTCGGTCCGATCCTAGAGGAGTGAAGTCTGTTCGCCGCTCGTGATGCCCGCTCTCACGAGTCGGCGGCGAGCGAGGGGGGAAGTGAGAAGGAGACGGCCTTCTCAGAAGGTTCGGAAGCCCCCCGTCCTTCTCAGAAGTTTTCTAAGCCTTCCCGATTCCCCGAAGCCATGAACACTTCTCAGGAGGCGCGAGGGCTTCTGAGATGTCCCGCCGCCTTCTGAAAAGGCCTTCTCCTTCTCACTTCCCCCCTGGGCGCGCCGCCGAATTTGCTTTTTGGGTCATAACTCGGGTCTTCGGCGGCCGTTCGAGACGATCCGGGCACCCCTGGGACGCCCTCGGCAAGGCGCAGCTGCTGGCAAGCATGCCGAGGCTAGAAAGCCGCCGAGAACCGACGAAAGCGTCCGAAACCTCGAACCTCGAAGTTCGAACTTCCCTCGAACCTCGAACCTCGAACCTCGAAGTACGAACTTCCCCCCCTCGCTCGCCGCTCTCACGAGGCCATCGGGGCGATCGAGAAGGGCGTCGCAGGCGGGTTCCTGCAGGGCGGCGCCGGCACGCAGCTGGTGCGCCGCGCGGTGGAGGCCGTGCGCGCGGCCGCGTGCTGCCGCCAGGGGGGGCTCCGAGAGGAGCTGTGCTCCCGATCCTCGTCCTGCTGCTGCTGCTCCTCCTCCTCCGCCTCCTCCGATCCTCCTCCTCCTCCTCCTCCTCTTCCTCCGATCCTCCTCCTCCTCCGATTCTCCGATCCTCCTCCTCCTCGTCCGCCTCTTCCTCCGATCCCCCTCCACCTCCTTCCTCCTCCATTCCTGTTCCTTATGAATAACTCTTCCCTGTCGCACCCCGAGGCCAGTCGGAAGGGTGTGGCTGGGCGTTTCGCCGGAGATTTCCTCATCGTTGATGATCCTGAAGCTTGAAGTTTGCAAGAGTTTCACGGATGGAGGGCGGGTGGTTTTCAAAGTGTGGCTCTCCCCTCATTGCCGCGCACATCCGTTTTGCACGTTTGCAATCTGTTCGCTGATTGCGGACAGGTCGTTTTCACAATGTGGTTGTCGCCCTAGCGCCGCGCGCACATTCGTTTTAAAATTGCAAGGGCTTCATGGATGGAGTGCGGGCCGTTTTCAAAATTTGGTTCTCGCCTTTGCGGCGCGCGCACATTCGTTTAAACATTGCAAGGACTTCACAGATGGAGGGCGGGCCGTTTTCAAAATGTGGTTCTCGTTTTAGCGCCGCGCGCACTCGTCATAACGAGTTGTAGGAATTTCGCGTATGGATGGCGGCTTCTCATCGAGATGTGGCTCTCGCCCTCTCGCCGCGCTGTAACAGTTTCAAGGATTTTTGGCTAGATGACGGATGGCCAGGGCGCATCAGTTACGTTGAATCGTGGCGTTGAAGTCCCAGGACTGGTGTTTTGGCATTCAGCAATGGTGTTCTGGCGTGATTCAGGATCGACAAGACGCAACAGTAACGATGCTTCGTGGCGTTGAAATCCCAGGAACGGTGTTCTGCAACACTTCTGGATTTTCCAAAAAGGTTGTGTTCCAACCGGGCATGTTCTCGAGTGAGAACAAAGCGTTGTAGGGGCATATGAAGAGGGGGCTTGGAAGGAGGGTTTGTTGCAACATTGTTGATGGGTCTTGGGTTTACATTGGTCATCCTTCTCCTCAGGTTCGCCTCGTCCTCCTCCACCCTCCTCCCTCCTCTTCTTCTTCCTCCCTCTCCTCCTCTTGTCCTCCGCCTCCCCCTCTTTCTCCCTCCATCTTTCTCCTCCTCGTCCGATCCTCCGATTCTCCGATCCTCCTCTTCCTCATTCTCCTGTCCCTCTCCACCTCCCTTCTCCTCCTCCTGCCCCCCCCTCCTGAACCTGGCTGTCAGAAATTGGCTGCCTGAAGCAGACAGCCAAACATGTTCGTCCTCCTCCCCCTTGTCCTCCTCCTTCTCCTGTTCCTCCTCCTACGTGGCCGACGACGCGGAGGCAGGCGTGCGCTCGCTCCCCCCGCCTGTCGGGAACCCGCGCTCCCTACGGCCGTCTCTATGTCCTCCTCCTTTTCCTCCTTCTCCTTCTCCTTCTCCTTCTATTTCTTCTTCGGCTTCTCCTTCTCCTTTTCCTTCTCCTTCTCCTTCGCCTTCTCCTTCTCCTCCTCCCTTCTCCCTCCTCCCCCCTCCCTCCTCCCTCTCTCCCTCCCTCTATCCCTCCCTTCCCTCTCCCCCTCCCTCCCTCCCCCCCCCCTCCCCCTCCCCCTCCCCCTCCTCCTCCTCCTCCTCCTCCTCCTCCTTCTCCTCCTCCTCTTGCTTCAAAATAGAGATACCATCACAAACATAAGCTCTCGGTGGTCCGCGCGGACTCTACTGTCGGCGCCTGCTGGCGGCGTCTCTGACGCCGCTTTGGCTCGTTCCGCTTTTTTAGGGAGGGCCGTCCAATGCCGACCCAAGAAATCCGTGCAGACCTCCGACAGCTTGTTTGTGCATGGTTTGTAGTTGTTGTTCTCTAGCCGTCGAAGTTTTGCCCGCGACCCTAGAGGTCCGATGGTTTTTCATTCTTCTGGCCCCGTCTCCTCCTCGTCGTCCCCCCCTCTTCGGCGAGCTCATCTTGTCGTTCAGTCACGTCGAGGTCGACTGCAATGATCGCCTCCAAATAATATGAGAGGGTCCTCGACCTCCTCCTCCTCCTCTTTGGGGGCGCTCGGCCTTCTCCTCCTCCTCTTCCTTCTCTGCCTCCTCCTTCTACCCCCTGACATCCAACGTCTTGGAAACAAAAAACAAGGCGGAGTTATTCATCGTTCTCGGTCTTCGGGGGCCCTCGCCGAGCTCGGGGGTCGTCAGGAAACAACGCGGCGAGATGAAAAGCCAGCGGCCCTGGGGAGAGGGTTGGGACATTCGAGACTTTCAGGGGCCTGGACGAGTTCATCTTATCATTCGGCCACGTCGGAGCAGACCACATCGACAACTTCTGCATCCTCCGAACAGGCCCGCCGCCCGGGGTCTGAGGGTGGTTTGCCCGCACCCTCGGCAACGTGCTCCGCCTCTTCCTCCTCCTCCTCCTCCTCCTCCTCCTCCTCCGCCAGGTCGTGTCAGAGCCCGAGCTCGCATGATGTAGTGGCGCTCCTCCTCTCCTTCCTCCCCTCCCGCATCGCTCTCTCTTCTCCCTCGAGGGTCGAGGGCGGCTGCCCTGAGCGCGCCTGGCTCTCGTTGGCCCCCGCAGGCCGCCGGAGGCCTCGCAGGCCTCGCGGGCGACGTCCCGATGACGCATCCGAGGGCCTCCGGGTCGACGGCCGTGCCCGGGTGCCTCTCGGCGCGCGGCACCTCGCGCGCCACGCTTCTGAGCTCCACTCCTCGTCGCCCAGAGGCCGCCCCCCCCCCCCCCCCCCCCCCCCCCACAGGACCGTCCAGGAGCGAGCCGAGACGAGCAGTTGGCCTCGGGGCGAAATTTCCCGAGACGTCTCCGAGGGCCTCCGGGGCGAAGGCCGGGCCCGGTGTGTCTGCTGCGGCTCGAAGGCCCTCGCGCCATCATGGCCTGGTGTTCTCATGCCGCCCTCTCTCCCTCCCTCCTCCTCCCCCTTCTCCTCTCCCTGCCTCCTCCTCGTCCTCTGCCTCCTCCCCCGTCTCCTCCTCGTCCTCCTCATCCCTCCTCCTCCTCCTCCTCCTCCTCCTCCTCCTCGTCCTGCTCCTCCTTGTTATTCTCTTCCTCCTCCTCCTCCTCCTCGTCCTGCTCCTCCTCCTCCTCCTCCTCCTCCTCCTGCCTCCCGTCGTCCGCAGGCCGTCCCCCCAGGACCAGCCAGAGGAGCGCATGGAGACGAGAAGCTGGCCCCTATGGGGGCGGGGTCGGGCTGTGCAGAGGCCGGCGGCTCGAGGAGTCGGGGCTCGTCGGAGGTCGAGGCCCTGCTCTCTCGCTCCTCGTCCTCTAGGGGGCCAATTTGTTTTGTGTCCGGGTGCTAAACCTATCGTTCGGTTATTTCGGCCCCTCGGAATATCGAATAAAAATGCGGTGCTAAGATATCGCCTGGGGGGTTCTTAAATGCTTCCTCGGGTTACCCCCCACGGTTTCTGAGGGGGAGGGTGGGGTTCACTTCGCTCGTGGCCTCCCGAAAGGAAGTGAACCCCACCCTCCCCCTCAGACATCGTGGGGGGTAGGGGTAGGGTTCGCTTGTGGCCCCCTAGGAGTCCTCGCTCTCGGCCCCTCTCCGAAGGGATCTTGTCGAATGGTGGGTCAGCTGCTCTCTCTCTCTCTCTGGTAAAGACGCGAGCCTTCTTCGAGGGTGCCGTGCATCATCCCAAACCGTCGATGTCGAACAGGTGCCTGCACGATTCTTCGAGGGCGGCCGTCGGCCTGACTGACGGCGGGCTGGGGCGCCATCTCAGGCAGGCCTGTGGCCTCCCCCTCCGCTGGGGTGCAACTGCAGAGAGGAGGGAACGAAACATGTCCGAGGCGGGGATTTATCCATACACCTTAGGCGATGCTTAAGAAAACTTAAATTTTCGGCCAGAGTCTCGATTATTCTTAATGTTTCAATGTAAATCCTAAGATCTGAATGGAATTTTTGGGTTTTTATTCAAGTTCTGAGACTATGAATTTCTTAACCCATGATTTCTTAAGCATTTCGCAGGGTGTAACCACCGCCTGGGGAATCGATCCTCGCGGACCTCCACAGGCTGTGGGTCAGGATATTTTTGGGCCCTCGGGGGCCAGAATTAACATCCATATGCGCCGCCCGCTGGGGCACCAGGACGTCGTATCCCAGGCGGTGGATATGGATAAATCCCCGCCTCGCGAAATGGACGGGCGAGGCGATTACTATAGTTCAAGTTTCGGCAGGTTTTCGTCCGTAGCCATTTTGGCTCAGGAGCCGACGGCCACGTTGTCCCCGCCCCCACCCGCCACCGCTGCCTCCGCGGTCCATTGGAGCTCTTCAGCATGGGCGTGCTCCAGGCCGCCACGATCGCCGTCGCCGCGGCGCTCGTCCAGCTAGGCGTTGCTGCGCCAAGCTATGCTGACCAGGCCACGGAGATTGCCGACATGATGCGCGCCGCGCGCGCACCCAGCCAGGGCCCCGAGGCGCAGGGCGCGCGGCGCGGGCCCGCGGCCGCGCCCAAGGGCACGGCCTCCTCGGAGCTGTTCCCCAGCCTCGACAGCGAGCTTCTCGAGAAGGCGAACCGCATCCAGCACGACCTGCGGCTGATGGCCGAGCCGGCTTCGTCGGGCCACCCCAAGGCGGCGCTCGCGGTCAAGGCGGCCTCCAAGGACAAGGAGCAGTCCCGCCACGACCGGGCCGCCCGCTTCTTCGCGACGCACGGCATGGAGGAGGTCGGGCGGATGCTCGGGGACGAGATGTCCGCCGAGGGCAGACGGCAGGCATTGAGGCAGGCCGCAGAGTCGCAGCGCCTCGCCACGCCGGCGGGCCCAGCCCTGCGCCACAGCGCGCCTCCGGCGTCGGGCAGCGCTCACGACGGGGGCCTCAGCGTGCACGTGCTGGACGCCGACCTGGCGATGGACGACGACGACGCGAGCTACAAGGCGAGCTGGAAGGCGGTCGAGGCGCTTCAGCGCCGCCGGCCTGCGGGGCTTCACTGAGCGCACGGGCGCGCCCGCGGACGGCCCTGTTCGCCCGCCGCGGGGCCAGGGGGCCTGCGTGGACGACGCGAAGGCAGAGAGCGAAATGAGCAAACAAAAAAAACAGAATGAAAAGTTTCGGTCGGTTTTCGTTTTTTTCGTTCGGGCGCTTTTGGATCTTCGCGTGCCTTTGGGGGCCTCCTGATAATTCTGGGGGCTTCAGGTGGAGGCCTCTGGAGATTAAGACTGCGCGGTTCCAGACCCTGGTGGTTCGAACAAAAACTAGATTATTTCGTTACTTCTCGGCGTCTGTTGGCCGCTTCTGGGCCCCTGGACAGTACAGCATAGAAACGGGCCGCGTCGAAGGATTGGCTTCGTGGAGAGGAGCCCGGGCTCTGATCTTGGAGGCTGGGACTTATCCATGTCCACCGCTCGAGAAACCGGGAGGCCGACCCTCCTGTACCTCGGCAGGCAGCGGGTATGGATATACTTGGGCCCCGAAGGGCCAACATTTTTTCCTACACGATGGCCGTGAGGCGCCTGGATGAAGTCGCTGCGGCGCAGCCCGCGCCCGTGCAGTAGGCGGGAAGAGGCCGCGGGGCAGCGGCCTGGAGGGCAGACGGACACAGCAGTTGCCGAGATGCTCTGCCAGCCACCCGGCCGCCAGCGCGCTGTGCCGCGCCGACGGCGGGGTCATGAGGGTGGCCGTCCTGGCGGGCGGCGAGGCGGGACCTGTTGTCCGCAGCGTCGAGCCGGGCCACAGCGTCGTCAGGAAGTTTCAGATTCGTCTGCACATGGATAGCTTCCCAACGTATATATATATATATATATACATATCCACATCCGTCGTCCCCTGGGTCCCAGGACATCGATTCTCCAGGCAGTGGATCTGGACGACTCCCCGCCTCGCAGGCTCGTCAAGGGCAGCGTGTCCGTGGGCTGGAGGCTTCGAGAGTGCCGGGGCCCCCCCGCCGAGGCCTGGGCGGGGGAGTGGCATGGTCGTTCTCTGGCTTCTCGCCCTGCCCCCCTGACTCCTGATGCTCCTCCTCCTTCTCCTCCCCTTCCCCCTCTCACATCCCTTATCGTTCTCTCCCCCTCGTCCTCCTCGTTTGTCGTCGTCGTCGTCGTCGTCCTCCTCCTCCTCCTCCTCCTCGCCCCGCATGCCCTTGTTGTTCCTTCCCCCTCTTCCTTCTCCTTCTCTGTCGCCTCCTCCTCCTCGTCCCACATCTCTTTCTGCTCCTCCTTCTCCTCCTCCTCCTCCCCCTCCTCCTTTTCCGACTCCGTGCTGATGTTTTTTCGGGGCTCGCTGCATCACCCCGCAGACGTGGCAGGTCGCCCCCCAATCAAGGCGGAGGCTCTTCGTCTTCTTTGGCCTCGGGGGTCCTCGCTGGGGCCCCAGGGGCCGTCGGGGAGGGGCCTGGGATGAAGAGCCCGCCCCGTTGGAGGGTCGAGGAAACGTGAGCATGGATTGAGGCGCGTGGATTGGCGACGGGTCGCGGTTCCATCCCAAATTTGCGCGCACCGTCGCCAGACCGTGCGGCGCTGGCGTGATGCTGAACCCCGATCCGTGGATCGGGCGCCCGCTCGCCAGATGCACGGATCTCTGATCCGTGTCGGCGCGCGCCCGAGAAGGGGTCGGGGCCCCCAGTCGGGGGTGGCCGCGGGCGCCCCTGGCCCAAGGTGCCCCCAGCTCGTCGCTTCATTTTGGAGCCCCTGGAGACCTTTGGGCCTCGTGCGGGGGTGCTCTGGAGGCCTCTGTGGCCTCCTTGGAAATCCTGGGGGCACCCTGGGCCAGGTGCACTTTTGGTAGTACCCGACCCAGGAGAGGACGGCTGCGCCTCGCGCGACCGCGCGGCGCGAGGGCGCGAAGGTGGGCGGCACAAGCTGGGCACCGTCCCGGCGCGGGGGCGACCTCCCACGTCTGCTCGGCCAGGTAGCGAGCCCCGGTCGGAAAAGGAGGTACAGGTAGGAGGAGGAGGAGGAGGAGGAGGAGGAGGAGGAGGAGGAGGAGGGGCGGAGGAGGAGGAGGAGGAGGAGGAGGAGGAGGAGGGGAGGAGGAGGAGGAGGAGGAGAGGAGGAGGAGGAGGAGGAGGAGGAGGAGGAGGAGGAGGAGGAGGAGGAGGAGGAGAGGAGGAGGTGGAGGAGGAGGAGGAGGAGGAGGAGGAGGAGGTGGAGGAGGAGGAGGAAGGGGAGGAGGAGGAGGAGGAGGAGGTGGAGGAGGAGGAGGAGGAGGCGGAGGAGGAGGAGGAGGAGGAGGAGGAGGAGGAGGAGGAGGAGGAGAGGAGGAGGAGGAGGAAGAGGTGGCGGAGGAGTAGGAGTAGGGAGTAGGAGTAGGAGTAGGAGGTAGGAGGAGGAGGAGGAGGAGGGAGGAGGAGGAGAGGAGCAGGAGGAGGAGGAGGAGGAGGAGGAGGAGGAGGACGAGGAGGAGGAGGGGGAGGAGGAGGAGGAGGAGGAGGAGGAGGAGGAGGAGGAGGAGGGGAGGAGGTGGAGGAGGAGGAGGAGGAGGAGGAGGAGGAGGAGGAGCAGGAGGAGCAGGAGGAGGAGGGGGAGGAGGAGGAGGAGGAGGAGGAGGAGGAGGAGGAGGAGGAGGAGGAGGAGGAGGAGGAGGTGGAGGAGGAGGAGGAGGTGGAGGAGGAGCAGGAGCAGGAGGAGGAGGAGGAGGAGGAGGAGGAGGAGGAGGAGGAGGAGGAGGAGGAGGAGGGGGAGGGGGGAGGAGGAGGAGGAGGAGGAGGAGGAGGAGGAGGAGGAGGAGGAGGAGGAGGAGGAGGAGGAGGAGGCGGAGGAGGAGGAGGGAGGAGGAGGAGGAGGAGGAGGAGGAGGAGCAGGACCAGGAGCAGGAGCACGATCAGGCTGCTGCTGCTGCTGCTGCTGAGGAGGAGGAGGAGGAGGAGGGACAGGAGGAGGAGGAGGAGGAGGAGAGGAGGAGGAGAGAGGAGGAGGAGGAGGAGCAGGAGGACCAGCAGGAGGAGGAGGAGGAGTTGGGGAGCTCGGAGAGCCTCTGCCATTCTCCTCATTTCGATGGGGCGGGAACGTCTGCCCCCTCGTTGCCGTCCTCGTTCCGATCCTTGTCGTCCTCGTGCCCCCCCCCGTTCTCATCGCCCCTGTCGTCGCTGCCAACGTGGTGCTTCTCGTCTTCCTCCTCCTCCCTCTCCTCTTTCTCCTCCTTCTTCTCCTTCTCCTTCTCCTCCTCCTCTTCCTCCATGATTCCTTTTGCTTATAAATAACTTCTCCCTGTCACACCCGGAGGCCAGTTTTTAGGGCGGGCCGGGCGTTTCGCCTGAGACTCCCTCACCATTTATGACCCTGAAGCTGAACGTTCGACAAGCGTTTCACACGTGGAGGGCGGGTGGTTTTCAACATGTGGTTCTCGCCTCAGCGCCGCGCACATCCGTTTTTTGTTTTCAAACTTTGCAAGAGTTTCACGGATTGAGGGCGACCCGTTTTCAATATGTGGCTCTCGCCTCAGCGCTGCGCGCATTCGTTTTAAGCATTTGCAAGGGTTTCACGTATTGAGGGCGATCAGTTTTCAACATGTGGATCTCGCTTTAGCGTCGCCAGAAGCGGTGTTTTGGAAGGATTCAGGGTTATGAGGGTGCAACAGTTACATTGGTCCGCTGTGTTGAAGTCCCAGGGATGGCATTCTGGCACGATTCAGGGTCATCAAGACGCAACGCTCAAGTTGATCCCTGGCGTTGGAATCCCTAAAACCATGAGTTGGCATGCTTAAGGGTCTTCAAACGGGTGCCTTCCAACGAGGCAGTTCCCTCAGTGGAAATGACTCGCTGTAGGGGCCCATGAAGAGGGAGCTTGGAGGGAGGGTTTATTCCAATATCGTTGATAGCTCTTGGGTTTACTCTGGTCCTCCTCCTCCTACTCCTCCTCCTCCTTTCCCTCCTCCTCCTCCTCCTCCTCTTTGTTCCTCTATCCTCCTCCTACTCCTCCTCCCACCTCCCAAGCCACTTTGGCTCAGGAGTGCAGGTGGCCAGGGGCGGGCAAGCCCGTCCCCGCCATGGGGTGGGAGGGCGACAGAGATGACGAATGGGACAGGGAGCTCGAGGACCAGGTCGGACGAAATCGTGGGGCAGGGAGAGGGGGCGGGCGCAACTGCGTTCGGCCTCGCTGCCGGGCGCTTTCCTCGACACACTGGCGCCTCCGTCGCCGGGAGACGTCGGGGAAGCCAGCTCCACGATCTGATTCGCCAACCCCGCCTCTGCTACCTCGGCGGAGGCAGACGGGTTGGATAGTCCAGGGGTGGGCATTGCCGTGGAAATCTATGCCAAGAATCACGCTGCTTGCCTCCAGGGTGCCCTGGGTTTCTGGGGCTTCGTGAGTTTCGCTATGGAAAGCCAGACGCTCCCACACCAAAAACCAATGGACGTCCTGGGTGTCTCAGCTGTGGAGGTTTCTTGTGGTCGAGCTCCTACCGTAGTCCAGGGGTGGGCATTATTGACGCGCAGGCGCCGGGGAGCCCCGTCGACGACATTGGTCGGTCGGGGCCTTCGGGTGCGTGGGCGTCGTGGCCCCCTCTGGCTAGCCGCTCCTGCTGCCTCCGCCGACGGCCCCCCGTTTCCTTGAAGAAGAAGCTGCATACACCTTAGGCGATGCTTAAGAAAACTTAAGTTTTCGGCCAGAGTCTCGATTATTCTTAACGTTTCAATGTAAATCTTAAGATTTTGATAGAAATGTTGTTTTTTAATTCAAATTCTGAGACTATGAATTTCTTAACCCATGATTTCTTAAGCATTTCGCAGGGTGTACACGTATAAACTTGCGGAGCCCGGCGCGGACTTCTTGGATCGGCGCTCGACCCTGCTCCCGGGCGCGCGGGGCGCGCCGGGTGCGGCGCCAGAGTCCCCGCCAGGGGGCCCCAGCGCCGATCCAAGAACTCTGCGCGGAGCTCCGAAGAAAGTTTATGTTTTTGCAGCCTATTCTTCCTCTGCTTGCGTCTGCCCCGAGAGGATCAGGTGGCGGATTTCTTCAGGAAGTACCCCACGGACGAGCGCGTGCAGGGGTACCTGACGAGCAGCCCGGCCCGCGTCGCGCGGCGGGTGCTGGAGAGCTTCCGGCCGCAGCGGGAGGGCGAGCAGGACTACTCGGGGCTGATCGCCTCGTTCCAGAAAAAGGTGGCCCGACACAGAACGTCACCACCCACCAAACCACCCCAACCCAACCCGAAGGCCTCAATTTGCCCTCCATTTCCAGTGGGGGGGGGGTCGGGAAACGTCGAAAAAACACATGTGGAACCCTTACCCCCCCCCCAACCCGAAATTCGGATCTTCGGGTTGGGTTGGGGTGGTCTGGTAGGTAGTCAGAACGAGCGGCACGAGCGCACACTTTCCGAGCTCCGCGCGGCTTTCCTCGACCGGTGCCTGGTTCCCCGGTGTCGCGCTCCGCGCGCCCGGGAGGGGGGCCCATCGCCCGTCCGAGAGATCCGCGCCGAGCTCCGAACGTGTTGATGCTTACGCAGTTGGTTGTTCCTCTGTGGTGGCGAGCCCCACCTGGCGAACCCTGCCCCTGCGGGTCCAGTCGACGCTGGGGTCTTGGGCACTCCTGCCGGGGTTCACTTGGCCGCGGGCGTCCTCCGAATCCCGAGCGCGCGGCCGGCGTTTCCGAAGTCTGGCCTGCGGGGGTAGGGCTCACGCACGTGGTTGCCCGCGAAGGTCCGGACGGAGCTGGGCCTGCCTCCCCTGGCGCCAGGGCCGGGTGGCGGGGGCGGCGGCGGCGGCGGCGGCGGAGGTCGAGGGCCCGAAAGCGGCATGAGGACAGCTCTTCCCGAGGTCCGCGCAGCTCCCCTGGGTCGGCGAGGTACACATTGTTCATGTATAATTATTCGAAAGTTCTTTGATTTTCTTGGGGGCCAAAATCCTTTCATTTCTAATTGTTCTATTCTAGGCCTCTTCCTGGCCACTAGGGGTCCAGGAACAATTAGAAACGAGCACAATCAGAAATGAGCACGATTAGAAATTAACGACTTGTACTGTGTGGGGCTGGGTGTTTAGTTCTGTGCCTCCCGTGGGTCGTATCCTCGGACGACATGTGTACACCGCACCGCGCTGGCGCCTGTCGAGGCGTCGTTGGTCTCTGACCCAGGCATGGTACGGTGCATCGTCTTTCGGCCCTCACAGCTGAGAAACTATGCACCGTACCCCGCTGGAGCGGGGCCTCCAGAGACTCCAAACATGGTACGGTGTACACGGGCGCCGCTCTCGTATCGTATGCAGCTCAGCAGCTCGCACGCCTGGGTCAGGAGTGTTCGAGGCAAGCCAGTGGCCATCGGCGCGATTATGTCGACAGGATCTCCTGGGGTGTCTGGCCTGAGGTTTGCAGCAAAGCTGAACAAGCCAGGGAGGTGCGATCCGAAGATTTGGTTTCCGACCCAGTCGCTACGTCCAGCCCTCCAGAGCCCCTGACCCCTATGGCCCCTTCCCCGCCTCTCCTGGAGGCGTGCGGGGGGGGGGTCCAACGCCAACCCTATGGATCCCGCGCGGGCCTCTGAAGTTCTCTGTCTGTGCCGCTCTTCGGTCCTCCAGGAGGGGGTGGCGGCGGCTGCGGCAAGGGCGCCTGCAAGGGCGGCGGCGGCGCGATGCCCGGAGACACCGCAGAAAGGGGACCCCACACCGGCACGATGCCCGGCCAGGGCCACCCCTGGGCCCTGGCATGGTTCGTGCGCCCCTCGTGGCCTCGGCCAGAACTCGAGGAAGACACAAAACAGCATGAACAGAGACTCCTCGGAGCTCCGCGCGCATCGCTTGCATCGGCGGTGGGCCCCCGCGCACCAGGAGGGGGGCCCAGCACCGAGCGAAGAAATCCGCACGGACCTCCGAGAGCTTACGCCTGTGCAGCTTGCTGCTCCCCTGCGGCCGAGCCGGGTTAGGAGGCCGACCCTGCCAAATCAAGGGTACCCCTTGTGTCCTGTGCCTCGCGACCCATGCCTCCTGCGTTCCTGTGGCAGTGTTGAGTGGCCTGTTTTCCACCACCACCACCCTAAGTTGGAGGGGGGAAGGAGGAGGAGGGGGAGGAGGAGGAGGGGGAGGAGGAGGAGGGGGAGGGAGGAGGAGGAGGAGGGGGAGGAGGAGGAGGGGAGGAGAGGAGGAGGAGGAGTAGGAGGAGGAGAAGGAGGAGGGGAGGAGGAGGAGGAGGAGGAGGAGGAGGAGGAGGAGGAGGAGGAGGAGGAGGAGGAGGAGGGGGAGGAGGAGGAGGAGGAGGAGGAGGAGGAGGAGGAGGAGAGGGACCCCCTCCACCCCCAACATGTGGTTGTGGTGGTGGAAACCAGGCCCACCGCACGTGGCCCTTGGAAGGGCCCCGTGCCCTCTCGCGCGTCCTGCCCAGTCACAGCCCGCCTGCCTCCGTGGCCTCGGCCAGGGCGGGGCCACCCCGTGCCCCGGCACGGGTGCCTGTGCGCCCCCCTGGCCTCGGCCAGCGGGCAGGGTGGCGGTGTGTGTCAAGGGCGCCGACACCGGGGAGGAGCGGGAGGAGGAGGGGGAGGGGGAGGAGGAGGAGGGGGAGGAGGAGGAGGAGGAGGGGGAGGAGCAGGAGGAGGAGGAGGAGGAGGAGGAGGAGGAGGAGGAGGAGGAGGAGGAGGAGGAGGAGGAGGAGGAGGGAGGAGGAGGAGGAGGAGAGGAGGAGGAGGAGGAGGAGGAGGGGAGGAGGAGGAGGAGGAGGAGGAGGAGGAGGAGGAGGAGGAGGGGGAGGGGGAGGAGGAGGAGGAGGAGGAGGAGGAGGAGGAGGAGGAGGAGGAGGAGGAGGAGGAGGAGGAGGAGGAGGAGGAGGAGGAGGGAGGGGGAGGAGGAGGAGGAGGCGGAGGAGGAGGAGGAGGCGGGGGAGGAGGAGGAGGGGAAGGAGAAAGAGGGGGATCTCTGGAATGGAATCGGAGGAAAGAGGAGGAGGAAGAGGGGGCGGAGAAAGAGGGGGATCTCTGGAATGGAATCGGAACCGCGGGCCCGGTCCTCCACCTCAAGGCATGGTGGACCATTCTTCGCCGAGCGCGTCCCTTTGCTCGCACAGTGCCTACTTGCAGAGTGCCGAAAAACAGCACACGTCTGCTTCGATGTGAATTCTCGCGGGTCCCCCGCGGGGGGATCCAGGCCATCTGCGAGGAGTGACTCTGCGAGCAGTGGCACGCGCTCGTCTACTTTGGGGCTCGGGAGGGGCCCTGGGTCGCGGGCCGTCCCTCGGGGAGCACGCTCGTGACCGAGGCTCGCCATGGCCAGCGGAGCCCCCTGCGTCCCTTCTCTGCGGCGTTCCTTCCCTGAGATCCGACGCTGCGAACAAAATGCAACGTCGCGAAACATCACGACCAGAGCCTTTCGACCCCATCTTTCTGCGGCATTTGTTCGGGCCGGCTCGATCCGTGACGGTCCCGGCGTCAACGATTGGGAGGACAAGGCGCGGTATGAATAACATGTCATTGCCCGACTGTCAGGGCTATGGTGGCGCGATGACTGTATCTGTGCGTCCTGCGCAGGAGATTGGGTGTGCCCGGGCTGCTCGTTTCTGAACTTCGCGCGCAACGACTCGTGCCGCCAGTGCGGCATCTCCCGGCCCGCGCCCGCCCCCCAGGTGGTGGTGGCCATGCCCACTGTCCATACAGTCCAGGCGCCGCGGTGCACCCACCGCGTCTGGCGAGGGCATGTGATAGGGAAACCCTGAATCCTCGCGCCGTGAGACACATCTCACGACGTGCTCATATGTTTCTTTGCAATTTCCGGCCTCCGGGGGTCCTGACTGGGCACCAGGGCCGTCAACGAACAGTTGGGGATGAAGAACTGGTCGTGGGGGATCTCTGGGGAGCTCCACGCTGTGAACAAAATTGCGACGCAGGTGTTCTTGGACGAGGGGGTGCGTCCTGATTGTTTACGTACCCGCAGCTCCCTGGCCAGGCCCGTCCTGAAACCAGGAGCTGTGTCTACGCCCTCCTGGCCAAGCCATGAGGGCGTGGCGCATGCACCACTGCTGGGCCCAGGAGGGGCCTAACCAGGGAGCAGTGGACATGTATAGCTCTCGTCGCCGCAAGACGAGGTGTGTGTGTGTGTGTGTGTGTGTGTGTGCTTGGGTGTGTGTGTGTGGGTGGCCGAGATCTGCTGCACGTGCGGTCGGTTCTGGCCCCGCCGCCAGGCGCATTTTTCCCTCGATGCCCCGGCGCCTCCCGCGCCGGGAGGCGCCGTCAGGACCAGCTCCAAGAGCTGGTTCGCTGGCCCCCCCCTGGGCTCAGCATCGTCTGCCGTTCCCCTATCCCCATCCCCATCCCCCGGCCGCGCCGCCAGGCGTTTTTTCTTCGATATCCTGGCGTCTCCCTCGCCGGGAGGCCCCGCCCAGGCCAGCTCCAAGAGCCGATTCGCTGACCCCCCCCTTTGCTCAGCATCGTCTGCCGACCCCCATATCCTTATCCTTACCAGTTTGAAGCATATCCCTATCCCTATGTTTGACATCACCTCACCTCGATGCCGATCTTAAGGATTCCCGCAGTTTTTGAGGGCCTATCCCTAAGATTGTCCTCGCTTGTTGCTCGCCCATCTTAGGGATAGGGATACGTTTGAGGCTGGTTATATCCCCATGCCCATCCAGGCCCCCACCCTCTCAGCACCCCAGCTGGGGATCGGTTCTTCTTAACCCGCAAGAACGGCCCATGCCTTCTTCGACGGGGGGGGGGGGGCTCGGCCAGTGGGGCCAAGGCCGCACCCATGTGGATAGGGGTCAGTTGAGCGATGCTCGCGTTGCCAGCGCCATTTTCATCCGACCCGATCCCAGCCCCGCCGATGCTGACTTTTGCAGTATGCATGCGGCCATGTGTGTGCACATCGTTTGCGTTGCCAGACCGAGGCTAGCGGCTAGCAATGACACGGATGCGAGGGTCGTCTTGTCATGTCTTGCTGCCATCCCTGACTCCCTCGAGTCGTGAACAAGAAAAAGCAGACGGAGCGACTGAGGCCCGTATCCAGCCCCGTGACCGTCAAGAAACGACTCAGTATTATCAAACGCCTGGTCCAGGGGAATGGGTCCAGATATCTGGAGTGCTTTTTTGGCTGTTCTGGGACCTTGCGAGGGCTCCCCAAAGCCGAAAATGGTTCAACACACAACCCGTTGTATTTTTTTCACGACGCGAGCATGTCTGCGTTTTCGGGATTTAGCTCGGCTCTCTGGCGGTCGTTCGAAACGATCCGGGCACCCCTGGAACGCCCTTGGCGAAGCACAGCCGCTGGAGCGCATCGCGAGGCTGGAAAACTGCCGAGAACCAACGATGACGCCTGAAAGCCGTGAACTTCGAGGCTGACCTCGAAGTCCGAGGTTCACGTCGTCGCCAGACCTCTCCCGGGTTGCGTTCCGACCAGAATTCCCAGGTGGATCCAGCGGTGGCGCACCCAGGAGGCCCAAAAAGGCGACAACGAAGGAATGGCAGCTCGAAGCAGAAGCGAAGTTCAGGCGAAAAAGCGAGGGAACAAAAAGGGAAGAAAACGAGGGAGGACAAAAAGGCGAAAAAACGAGGCTTCGAAGTTCCGCAGTTCACACGTCGTCGCCGTCGCCGCCCCCCGCGGTGGGGGGGCGCCGCCCGCGTGAACCCGCGGACGGCGGCCCCCGCGGGCTACAGGCGGTGCCCGCGGCGCCCAACGTGCCCGGGGCGCTGCCGGGGGACTGGATCTGCTCGCGCTGCGGGGACCCCCGCCTGGCTTCGCTCGTCGTCGTCGTCGTCGTCGTCGTCGTCGTCGTCGTCGTTGTCGTCGTCGTCGTCGTCGTCGTCGTCGTCGTCGTCGTCAACGTCATCGGTGTCGCCGTCGTCGTCGATCGTCTATCCCTTATGTCATCGTCGGAGGAGGTTGTGGGTGTGGCAGTTTTTTTGCAGGAGGCTGGTCTCCCCACGTCCTCAGTTGGGGTCCTCGTTACTAGGGTGACGCCTCCGCCTCACTACTTTATACACAGACCGCTCACGCAGTCAGATCCACTCATACTTGGCCAAGTCATAGTCATGCTAATACTCGCATGCAACTCTCACTCTGATCATTCACACTCGGTCCCGCGCATATTCGACTCATTCTCAGACTTACCCACACTCTGCCACTCATACTCAGGCCCACTCACACTCGCTCCTCAGGCTGCTCACGGATCACCACCCGCAGCGCGCATCCTGTCGTCGACCATTCAACGATCACTGCAATTGTTGTCTTGTTTTGTCCTTTGCCCCTGGCCTCGCCCGCTGCGCGGAGCGCGCTTCGCATGCGCTTGTTGACGTGTTTCTATCTGCCGTTTCCAATCGTACTTGTTTTGTTTATGTCTGTTCCCCCCCAGCCTCACCTCGCGAGCGACGGCTGGACTTCGTCTCGTCCACCCCTGCCTCGCTCGCGGCGCGCCGCGCGCTCTGCCGGGCCTGCGCGTTCTCCTGTGGCCGAGGGGCTGCTCGTTTCGATCGCTCTCCCCCCGCCCCCGCCGCCTTGACGAGCCGTGCCTCTGCTTTTCTACCCCAGCCGTGCCTCGCGCGCTGCCTGACGCGCGCTTGTGCAGGGCACCGTCCTCTGTTTTTTGTTTGTTTGCTCGTGTGCCTGTTTGTTTCTTTGTCTGTCTGTCTGTTTGTTTGTGCGTTTGTTCGTTCGGTTCGTTTCTTGCTTGTGTGTGTCATACATGCGGATGAGTTTCCCCACAATTTGGCCGCTCCAGCAAGCGAGGTGTGCTGTCGACAGTGGGGGGGGGCGTCAGAAGCTGGGGACGCTCCCCCGACCACCAAGCGCTCACTCCACTCCTCACCGCGCGCAGTGCCAGACGCTGGTCAGATCGGCTGATTTTCTGCGCCAACGCCCCCGCCCTTCAGCGAGCGAGGTTTAGGGCGTCCTTTGCAGGGCGCTGGCGTGCTCTTATTTCTTGTTTCTTTACTTTCAGCCCGGTTCCGTCGGCGATTCGAGTATACATTGTATGGACGAGTACCCGTTCCAGCCCCGTGGTCCCATGCTGCTGGACATCCAGGCTAAGCCCGTGTTACTCTCCCTCCCCTGGGACCTTAGGGAGGCTTGACATGTGTCCTAGACGACTCCGGGTACTTCCCACGCGGCCGCAGAAGGGGTCCAAGAGGAACCGAATTCTGGGCCAATTGGCCTCCGAGACGGCCCACGAGCGCCTAGGACGGCCCAAGAGGGCCTCACGACGGCCCAGGATGCTCCCAAGACGCACCAATAATGCTCCCAGAGAACCCCCAAGAGTGCCTCAAGAGGCAATCCTCGTCGTAAGCCGTAACGAACACAAGCATTTTCAGCAAACTCGCCTTGTCGATCTGAAAAAGCGTCGAAGACGGCGCATGAGGCCGAAGAGGCCCCCACGAGAGCCCCAAGATGGCGCCCATGACGGCCCAAGACGTCCCCAAGAGGGCCCCCAGAGAGGGAGTTCAAGCCCTCTGCCCCAAGAGGGCCCAACGAGCCCCAAACAGCTCGCTGAAACCGCCAGCCCTCTGCCCAAAGAATTCCCCAAGAAGCCAGAAGAGGCCACCTGAGACTGCCAGAGGGCTTCAAGAAACCCCCAAGAGGCCCACAAGAGACTCCACGAGGCGTTCAACCGGCCCCCAAGAGGCCGGCAGTGCTCTATTCCCCGCTTCGATGACTTAAAGGCCGGTTCATATGGGGTTTTCCATGGTCGACCGGGGAAATGAGCAGTAGCCAAAAGATTTCGCTCGTATTAAACGTAGTGGTGTGTCGTCCATGCAAGAGCCGAGAAACACAATTATTACCCTTACGAATACCGCGCAGTCCCCAGGAAAACCTGACAGGGGAAACTCACAACTGCCCGGTAGTAGTAGTAGTAGTAGTAGTAGTAGTAGTAGTAGTAGTCGTAGTCGTAGTCGTAGTCGTAGTAGTCGTAGTAGTAGTAATAGTAGTCGTAGTAGTAGTAGTAGTAGTAGTAGTAGTAGTAGTAGTAGTAGTAGTGGTAGTAGTAGTAGTAGTAGAAGAAGTAGAAGTAGAAGTAGAAGTAGAAGTAGAAGTAGAAGTATAAGTAGAAGTAGAAGTAGAAGTAGTAGTGGTAGTAGTAGTAGTCGTAGTAGTAGTAGTAGTAGTAGTAGTAGTAGTAGTAGTAGTAGTAGTAGTAGTAGCAGTAGTAGTAGTAGTAAGCGTGGTCGTCGTAGTAGTAGTAGTAGTAGTAGTAGTAGTAGTCGTAGTAGTAGTAGTAGTAGTAGTAGTAGTAGTCGTCCTTGTCGTAATAGAAGTAGTATCAGTCGGAGTAGTGGTAATCGTAGTCGTAGTAGTAGAAATAGTCGTAGTAGTATGAGTACTGGTAGTAGTATTGGCTCGGCTTGGGTGGTGCGAAATGATTTTGTGTGTATTTTCTATGTTTTTACATCATCCGGTCAAGTGAACCTCGCTCAACCACAGGAATTCCGTACACGTATATGAGCAACATTCAAACAACATCATGCAACATGCATGTTTATGTGTCTGTAGATGTTTACGAATACGTCTGTGCGTCGTACTCGAAGATATGCATGTTTGTATAGATGCTCTTGGAGGCATCATCGAGGCCTCTAGAAGCCTCTAAGAGGCCCCCTAGAAGTTTCTAAGAGGCCTCGAAGCCTTTAGCAGGCCTCCTAGAAGCCCCTACGAGGCCTCGTGGAAGCCTCGTAGAGACCTCTTACAAGCCTCTGAGAGGCCTCCTAGAAGCCTCGCGCAGGATTCTTAGAAGCCTCTGAGAGGCCTCTCAGAAGCCTCCAGGAGGCCTGAACGACGCCTCTTTTCGACGAGTAAGATTTCCTCACGTTTTTGAAAAAGTAACCGGGGAATGCACCAGTTTGACCAGGGAGAGCTGCATTCCACCGGTGTATATACCATCGAACTGGTGTTTACAATTCGACCCCAAGAGGCCCCAGGGGGTTTCAAAACTGCTTCCAAGAGACTCTCAGAGTCTCCCCAAGGGACCCCAACGACATCCAAGAGAGCTCTGGCCCACAATCCAGCCACGATGGCGGGTCGGGCGTCTGACAGCCCAGGTGATCCAAGCAGCTCCGCACTCCAACCGCAGGTGGCCCGATTGGTTTGGCCCTCCCTCTTCCGCAATCCCGCGCTCCACCTCCCTCATCTTCATTCCTCTCCTCCTTCCTGCTCCCTCGATCCTGCTCCTATCCCCTCGGAAGTTTGTGACCCTACCTCCTCCTTGCTCTTTCTCCTCCTTGGGGCTGTGGCCGAGGGTAAACCCCTTGCGAACAGAATGACACCATAAAGAGACAGAAGAACGGATGATATCCTCGTAAGTGACGTCGCAACGGTTATTCCATACTGGTGTAGGCTTGTGCACATGAACGGCCGTGTTGGTGTCGAGGGCCGCGGCGCGCTAGAACGTACTCGCGCGCGAAGCGCGCGCGTGGTTCTATCTAGTTTGTGTATCTACAGGTTGATCCCCTCCCCCCTTCGTGGCCTCGCGATCGCCGTGGCGCGCGCTTTTCTGAGAAGTGGGGATGCTTCGCTCACGCAGCCTATCCCATATGAGACGCGCTGCCATGCCCGTTTCTATATCCGTAGTCTGTCCACAGTAGATTCACACGTGAATTCACTCGTGGGCTCACTGTGAGAACATTCGCGCGCAATTGCCCCATTGTTGCTTCTTCCGTAGTATCGTTGTGGTTGTGTTCCCACTGATACGTTCCGTGACGGTCGCACTATGCTTACACGTGTGGTTTCACAAGGGGTTTTGTTTCGGAGACACAGGTGGTCCACGTGCTCCCACTATGGTTTCAGTCGGGCTTCCACAGGTGGTTTCACTGACATCCCTCTCTGGGCGTGTCGCACCTCTAATGATTCTACTTCGCCCGCTTAGGTCCTCTCAAAAGTCCTTTCACTATGGTTCTATTTTGCTAGTTCAGGGCGCCTCGGCACTAGACGGGGTCTTCGTCGTTGTCGCTGTCGATCCAGGATCGAGTGTCGCGGGATGGATGGGGTCTAGATGACTTGTTTTGTTTTTCTTGGGATTTCCGAGGCCTCCACGACCTCGTTCTCGCCCGCCTCCTCGCCTTCGTCCTCCTGCCCGCCGGAGGCAAGGATCGGGGAGGAGTGAGGAGAAAGAGGGAGGTGGATGGGAGGTGGGGGGAGGGGACGGGGGAGGAGGGTACAGGAAGGAGGGGTGAGTGAGAAGGAAGGCAGGAAGGAAAGGACGACAAGGAGGAGGGGGGAGGCACGAACTTCCTACCTTCTCGGGGGCCACCTGAGAGAAGAATGTAGGCAGGAGGTTTGCAGGTCGAAAGGGAGGTTGGAGCCTCCCTCCTTTCCTCTGCTGCTGCTGCTGCTGCTGCTCCTCCTCTCCAGATATCCAACGGGTGGGGCAGGCAAGGGCTTCCGGATGCCGAGAACTGCCGAGCACCTTCTCGTCGCTGTTTTTGCCACGACGCGAGGGAGTGGGGGCCGTCCTCCTCCCGCGGGCGCGCTCTGGGCCTGGCCTGGATTCCGACCCGACCGATCCGACATCGAGATCGACTCTGGCCTGCCCGATCCGAGTCGACCCTGACTCTTGGCGATCCCATGCGGCCCGATGTCTCTTTGCATGGCGCGGCCCTGTCCGGTGCCCATCCCAGACGTCCGACGACCTGCTTCTGCCAGTCCTCCCCATCGCTGCCCCAGGGGTGGTCTTCCGGGCCCGATGGACTGGCCCCGGAGGCCGAAATCGAAGGAACACGCTGGGATCGGAAAATTGATAGTCTTTTTAATTCACTGTTTTGCCGATCGGCGCGGGCCCTCGCACCCCCCACCGTCCCCCCCCCCAGAATGGAACAGATCTTGGCTGTTTGGGGCGCCTGTTTCGAGCAGGGGGAGTCTCCCCCATAGAACGCACAATTGCAAACAATCGCATCAAGCAGAGGTCCGGAGCCAGAACCCCCCCCTCTTCCGCCCAATGTCGAAATGCCGAATAAGAAAACGCTTTCAAACAAGCATTTCGTCGGAAATGTCTGGGTCCAGCGCCCCTTCCGATTCGATCCGGTTTCCCGAGGCGGTGCTGGCCGCTCCTAAGCTCGGGCGGAGCTGGGACGAGGACAGATCCGTTCCCACGGAAGGCTCTCAGAGCCTTCCGGAACGCTCGGAGAAGGCCGCGGCGCCCGAGACATCCTCCAGAGCCGCCGGATCTCAGAGATTCCCGATTGGCCCGCAGCTACTTCTGTCCTCGTCCTGGCTTCGGCTCGTACGCCCCGTGCCGTGAGGACCTGCAGTTCGCCCGCAACCAGTCCTGCCGGCAGTGCGGCACCCCGCGGGCGCCGGACCGGGGCCCGATCGAAGCCGCGAGGGGCAGCGCCTGCCCCGGGCCCGAGTGCCAGAGAGGCAGGTGCAGTGGGGGCCCCTCCCCCTCCCCCTCCCCCTCCTCTTCCTCCTCCCTCCTCCTCCTCCTCCTCCTCCTCCTCCTCCTCTCCTCCTCCTCCCCCTCCCCCCCCTCCCCCTCTCCCCCTCCTCCTCCTCCTCCTCCTCCTCCTCCTCACCCTGCTCGCCTCCAGGGCGCCCTGGGTTTCCTGCGCTTCGATGGTTTTGCCATGAGGGGCGTGACGTTCCCACACCAGATATCGAGGGACGTCCCGGGGTCTCAGGGTTGGGTTTCTTGTGGAAGGCTTCTTGTGGTCGAGCCCCTACTGTATCGGGCTGGGGGGATGGTCGGCCACGCGCGGGGAGGGGCAGGGGCAAGTCGGGCCTGTCCCTCTACTGGAGGAAGGTTTAGAAATCGTCAACAGGTAGTCAGGGGACGTTGTTATTCGTATCTGTTTTACTTAATACCTTGGGCTATCTTTGACTGTCGTTCAAGATCCGCCTGGAGGAGAACGTGCCCGACCTTAGGGTAGGAGGGCGGGGGGAAGGCTTCTCAGAATCTAGGCCCCTCTCCGTGGGGTCGGAGCAGATGGCGGTCGGAGGCTCGCGCCCCATCGCCGATGCATCGACGATGCGGCGCGATGCGGGGCCCGATCTGCTCAGAGCCGGCGTCGCCGATGCATCTCAGAGCGTGAATTACCTACCCCGCTTTCGCTTCCAGGCAAAACCAAGCCATACCACGCGCCTCCTCATCAAGCGGCCTGACCAGTACAGGCTGGCTGCAATTTGGCATCGTTTGGTATCTCTTGGAAGCGAGGGTGGTCAAAAGCGAGGTAGGTTTGTTTTCCCGCTAGCATCGCCGATGTCGCCGGTGCATCGCCAATGCATCGGCGATGCATCGGCGACGGAGGCCTCTCTGGCCGGCCACGCGCAGAGGGGGGGGCAGGGGGAGGGGGGAAGGCTTCGTAGAGGTAGCCCTGCTTCTCAGAAGGCGCGGGCCTTGCCTATGGATGCGAGGCCGGCGCCTTCTCAGAAGCAGGCTCCTTCTGACAAGCCCTCCCCCCTCCCACTAACCCCCTTGTGCGCGCCGCCAAGATGGGGTGGAGAGAAACGATCAGACCATCCGAATTATCGCGTATGTTGACTGGGCTTATTACACATTCGTGCTTCGTATTTTCACACAATCCTTCCACCCAACACGATCGTTGTCTTTCTCGGAGTGGGCATTGGAAATGGTAGGGTTGTTTTTCACTTGTTCCGTTTTTGGTGTTCTCTTGATTCCGTCGCTGTGCTTTTCCAATTTTTGGGGGCATTCTTTGTTCCGGTCCCCTTTCGGGTTACGATTGCGGCGCCGTTTCGGTGAGCCTTTTGGTTGAATGGTTCTCGTAATGAATGGCCAAGTCTTTGGAAAGCGTGAAACACGAGCCTGCCGCTTTCAAGGCTCACTAAGCCAGACCCGCTCACGTCGTGACCAGATCCAGGACCTCGAGCCCCGACCTGCCCGCGCCGTTACGAGAAAGAGCGCGGCGGCGGGTTCTTGCGTGCCCTTGCCCACTCTCGGCCTCCAGGGGCCCCCACAGGCCCAAGGACCGCGAAAAAAGACGGCTCGGGATGGAAACCAGTCCCCCCAGGGTTAAGTCGGGCCTGTCCCCCTACAGGGGGATTTTCGACGAAAAATGAAAAAAAAACCCTACAAATAATTTTAAAAATTGTCCAAAAATAGTCAGGCGACTATTTTTTTAGTATTTTTTGGCCTTTTTGGGGGTATGTTGGGCGTACTCTTAATTTTCCGTCGCCGATCCCCCTGTGGGGGGACAGGCCCGACATGACCCCTGGGAGCCGTCGAGGCCTCGGGGGGCCCCTCGCTGTGCGGACGCCACGGCGGCGGAGGCCCGGGGGGCCTCGAGCCCGGACCCCCTCGCGCCGCCAAGATCGTCGAGAGCGCCTCCCGGGTGCCAGGAAAAAGCACGACGTCGGCGGCCCGGGAGCCCCGAGCCTGGGCCGACCCCCCTCGGGCCGTGGAGAGATCATCGAGGACCTCCTCGCAGGGCTCGAGCAAAGCGGTGTTTTGGCAATTTCGTGGGCCGTTTTCGCTTTGACTTGGTTGTGCCGCATCTGTGGAACGAAGGCAGAGCTAGGGATGACGAAAACAAAACGCAAACGGAAAACACTGTTCAACTCGAGCCCTGCCTCCTCGGGCGCTTGCCCTCCTCTCGCTCCGGGCCTCCCGGGAGGCTCCTCGGTCGCTGGGGCCGGGAGTCCCCGCCGGCACCCGGGCCAGAGAACGCGCCTCTTGGGGCAAGCCCGGGTTGGGCCCCAGGACACCTACGCCTTGATTCCCAACCATCCTGTGGTGTTGGGTCCTCGTTTTGAAGAGACGGTGCCCCGCGTCCTCTCCTCCTCCTCCTCTTCCCCCTCCTCCCTCCTCCCCCTCCTTGCCTCTGCTCTCGGCACACCTCTCACGCGTTTCGTAGCCCCATAGGGAGCTCCACCGAAGGCCCCAGTGGGGGTGTTCGCATGCGGTTCCCCCACCCAGGGCAGCGTTTCGTGGCCCCATAGGGAGCTCCACCGAAGGCCCCAGTGGGGGTGTTCGCATGCGGTTCCCCCACCCAGGGCAGCGTTTCGTGGCCCCATAGGGAGCTCCACCGAAGGCCCCAGTGGGGGTGTTCGCATGCGGTTCCCCCACCCAGGGCAGCGTTTCGTAGCCCCATAGGGAGCTCCACCGAAGGCCCCAGTGGGGGTGTTCGCATGCGGTTCCCCCACCCAGGGCAGCGTTTCGTGGCCCCATAGGGAGCTCCACCGAAGGCCCCAGTGGGGGTGTTCGCATGCGGTTCCCCCACCCAGGGCAGCGTTTCGTGGCCCCATAGGGAGCTCCACCGAAGGCCCCAGTGGGGGTGTTCGCATGCGGTTCCCCCACCCAGGGCAGCGTTTCGTGGCCCCATAGGGAGCTCCACCGAAGGCCCCAGTGGGGGTGTTCGCATGCGGTTCCCCCACCCAGGGCAGCGTTTCGTGGCCCCATAGGGAGCTCCACCGAAGGCCCCAGTGGGGGTGTTCGCATGCGGTTCCCCCACCCAGGGCAGCGTTTCGTGGCCCCATAGGGAGCTCCACCGAAGGCCCCAGTGGGGGTGTTCGCATGCGGTTCCCTTACCCAGGGCAGCGTTTCGTGGCCCCATGGGGAGCTCCACCGAAAGCCCCCGTGGCGCAGTTCGCATGCGCTTCCCCCACCCAGGGCAGCGTTTCGTGGCACCATAGGGAGCTCCACCGAAGGCCCCAGTGGCGCAGTTCGCATGCGGTTCCCCCACCCAGGGCAGCGTTTCGTGGCCCCATAGGGAGCTCCACCGAAGGCCCCAGTGGGGGTGTTCGCATGCGGTTCCCCCACCCAGGGCAGCGCTTCGTGGCCCCATAGGGAGCTCCACCGAAGGCCCCAGTGGGGGTGTTCGCATGCGGTTCCCCCACCCAGGGCAGCGTTTCGTGGCCCCATAGGGAGCTCCACCGAAGGCCCCAGTGGGGGTGTTCGCATGCGGTTCCCCCACCCAGGGCAGCGCTTCGTGGCCCCATGGGGAGCTCCACCGAAGGCCCCAGTGGCGCAGTTCGCATGCGGTTCCCCCACCCAGGGCAGCGTTTCGTGGCCCCATAGGGAGCTCCACCGAAGGCCCCAGTGGCGCAGTTCGCATGCGGTTCCCCCACCCAGGGCAGCGTTTCGTAGCCCCATAGGGAGCTCCACCGAAGGCCCGCCCCGGTGGCGCAGTCCGCATGCGGTTCCCCCTATCCAAGGCAGCGCTTCGTGGCCCCATATGGAGCCCCACCGAAAGCGGCACCCACAACGCGTTACCAACAATTGCTTATGGTTGGGTCTTTCGCCAGGATAATTTTTTGGGGTCCAAGGTCCTTTCATTTCTCATTGTTCTATCCTGGGCCTGTTCCCGGCCACCAGGGGGCCAGAAACAATTAGAAACGGGCAAAATTAGAAATGAGCACGATGATAAAGGAACGGCGTGTACGGTCAGAACTCATACCAAGGACGCACGGCTGTCCCTACAGTGCCGTTTTTAATACATGCTCCGCGTGCGGACCATGTATTAAAATAAAGGGTTGATTAATAAATACAATGATGCGTTCATGTATACATGTATTCGTAAATTAATCATGTATGAAATTCCGATATATATATATATATATATATATATATATATGTGTATATATATATATAAAACCCTATGTATTAAAACAACTGCCCTGTATAGGGTGTACCCTTGCGTCCTTGCCTCTGCGGCCCCGTCCTTCGCGGCTCTCACCAGCCAGCCTCTCGGGATGCTGGCAGCTCGCCGCCCAAGAAGCGCCAGCTTCCAGCGTCCAAGACCCCCTGGCCTCCTCACCGCCCTTTTTTTGCTCTAGAGATTTCGACTGGACTCCGCCGCGCCAGGACGCCTCCCGACGGGAGATCTCTAGCAACTGTCGGCTTCTTGGGGCCTCTGCGGGGCCTCCGGACCGTCAGGAGGCGGAGCCAGTCTCAGGGACGAGGTCGAGACCTCATGCAGGCCTCGGAAGCATCACTCCAGAGCGCTCCCGAGCGCTCTAGATCGGACGCGGTAACCACTGGATCTTTCACACCCACCAGCCATCAGAGATTTAGACTTGTCTCGTTCCGATCGTATCCTGCGCGAGGAGGTATGGCCAGCGGGTCATAACTCGCAGCTCTGGCAACCGCTCGGGGACGATCCGGGCATCCTGGGGACGCTCTCGGCGACGCGCGGCTGCAGGAAAGCGCCCCGAGATTGAAAAACATGCAAGAACCGACGAAAACGGTCGAAAACCCTGGGCAACTTTTTTGTGCCCCCCCGTGCCGCCAGAGTCGCCTTCTGGCGCCCCCTCTGGCGCGCTCCGCGCGCCAGGGAAGGGGGCCCAGCGAAGATCCAAGGAGTCCGCGCGGATCACCAAAAGTGTAAGTTTATATTGTTTTGTTCTTCCTCCGCTGAGGTCTCAAGACTTCTCTCCACTGTAGTCACGGGGGTCGTGTTGGTATCGCTCCTCCTTCCCTCCCCCTTCCTCCCTCCTCGTACCTCCTCCTGCTCCTCTTCCTCCTCCTCCCCCGTCCTCCCACCCTCTTTCTCCTTTTCCCTCTTCCTCCTCCTCCTCCTTCCTTCTTCTCCTCCTTCTTCCTCCTCCACCTCCTTCCTTAATCCCTTCCTCATGAACATATCCTTCCTGTCGCACCACCAGACGTGTCGGAAGTGCGAGCCGGTCGTTCCGCCTGAGACTTGTTCAGCATTTATGACCCTGCTTCAAATTTGCAACATGTTCAGGGATGCATGGCGGGTGGATTTCAAACTGTGGCTCTCGCTTTAGCGCCGCGCACATTCATCTTGACAGTTTGCAGCAGCTTCAAGGATGGAGGGGGAGCGGTTTTCAACATGCAGCTCTCGCTTTAGCGCCGCGCTCGTTCGTCTTGAAGCTTGCACCAGTTTCAAGGAAGGCGGGCGGGTATGTTTTACAATGTGGCTCTCGCCTGAGCACCGCGCACATTCGTCTCAAATTTTGCAGCGGTTTCAAAGATGGAGGGCGGCTGGTTTTCAAAATGCAGCTCCCGATCTTGCGCCGCGCGCAATCGCATTAAGAATTTGCGACGGTTTCAATGATTGAGGGCGGATCCTTTTCAAATTGTGGCTCTTGCTGTAGCGCCGCGCACGTTCATCCTAAACAAGTACAGCGGTTCAAGGATGCGGGTGGTATTCAAAATACATCTCTCGCTTTAGCGCCGCGCGCATTCGCTTTACAAGTTTGCGGCAGCTTCAAGGATTTAGGAACGTTCCTGTTCAAACTGTCGCCCTCGCTTTAGCGCCGCGCACCCGTGTCCTAAGTGTTTAGCAGTTTCAAGGGTTCGTATGGTTGAAGTCCCAGGAACCGTGTTCTGGCATGATTCAGGATTGCCAGGACGCAGCAATCATATTGATTCGCGGTGCCGAAGTCACAGGGGCGGTGTTCTGGCACAGCGTTCTGGGCTGTTTGGTTTTCGTTTTGACGAGACAGCGACCCGCGTCTCCTCCTCTCCTGTGCTTTCCTTTCCTCTCCTCTCCTCTCCTCTCCTCTCCTCTCCCCTCCCCTCTTCTCCCCTCCCCTCCCCTCCCCTCCTCTCCCCTCTCCTCCCCTCCTCCTCCCTCCTCCCATCTCTGCCTCTGCCCTCCGCACCCGATGCAGCGTTTCGTGCCCCAGTGGCGGTATACAGCGCTTCTTTGCCCCACAGGGAGCTCCACCGAAGGCCTCAGTGGCGGTGTTCGCATGCGTCTCCCCCGCCCAGCACAGCGTTTCGTGGCCCCATAGGGAGCTCCACCGAAGGCCCCAGTGGCGGTGCTCGCATGCGTCTCCCCCGCCCAATACAGTATTTCGTGGCCCTATAGGAAGCTAGACCGAAGGCACCAGTGGCGGTGTTCGCTTGCGTTTCCCGCAATCAGTTCAGCGTTTCGTTGCTCTATAGGGAGCTCCACCGAAGGCCCTGGTGGCGGTGCTCGCACGCGTCTCCCCCGCCCAGTACAGCGTTTCGTGGCCGCATAGGGAACTCCACCGAAGGCCCCATTGGCGGTGTTCGCGTGCGTCTCCCCCACTCAGTGCAGCCTTCCGTTGCCCCACAGGGAGCTCCACCGAAGGCCTCAGTGGCGGTGTTCGCATGCGTCTCCCCCACCCAGTACAGGGCTTCGTGGCCCCATGGACAGCTGCACCGAAGGCCCCAGTGGCGGTGTTCGCGTGCGTCTCCCCCACCCAGTACAGCTTTCCTTTGCTCAATAGGGAACTTCACCGAAGGTCCCAGTAGCGGCCCCGCCCCATCGCGGCCAACCCCTCACACGTTTCACGGCCCCATAGTGGGTCCCACCCAAAAGCACCAGTGGCAGCGCCCACATGGCGGCCCCGCCCCAGATCGGCACACCCTTCGCATGCTGCATGGCCCCATGAGGAGATCCCCCGAAGGCGATACCCGCAACGACGGTATCCACAACTGCATATGTTTGGGTCCCTCGCCAGGATACTTTGTCAACGGGGCACTTCCAGTAATGAAAGTCAATTCATGATGGGACCTGTGAAGAGTGAATTCGGAGAGACGGTTTCTTGCATCATCGTTGATGCGTCTTAGGTTTGCACTGGTCCAGTCTGGCCGGCCACTCTGATCGGAAGCCGGCGTACTCCCCCTCTACCTCTCGAGCGAGGCGGTCCCCCTGGGCGCGGCGTGCGTATCGACTGGCGGACGGCTTCTGGGGCGAGCCGGGCAGCGCCAGAGGGGGCCGCCACCAGGGGTGTCGCCAGTTTCTCCCGAGGATCGAGGCTTCAGGATCGAAGCTCGAGGGGACTTTTGGCCGCTTGGGGGTCGTTCTGGGGGGCCCCTGGCGCGCCTCGGGGGTCCCCGCGTCCTCGTGGAGGGCGGCGCCGTTCCTCGAGGCGGCGGCGACCCCCCCCCGGCGGCGGCCCCCCCGCGGCGCTGCCCGAGGAAGGGCGTGCGCGGGCGGGGGGGCGTGCAGGACAGGGCCGGGGCGTGCCGCTCCCCGAGGAAGGGAAACACGCGGGGTCCAGCGCAGGTCCAGGAGCTCCGCGCGGAGCGGCGACAGTTTCGGTTCGTGGCGTGTTTTTTTATGTTTGTAGCTGCGCAGGGTAGGGCCTCTTCCGGGCTTTGGAGCGACACGCTGTCCACTTCCCAGTCCCGAGGCGTCGATGTCTCGAGCTTTCCCGCGCCTGCCGCCTCGCGTAACGGAGCGACACGCCATTCGCTCGCAAGGCATAGCGCGTCGCCGGGGCTGCCTTGGCGACACGCTATCCCCAACGTCCCGACCGTAGACGCCCCCGGGAGCGCGACGGCGAGGGCGGCGGCGATGGCGCTGACCGCGGGCACCAGCCCAGCGCCCCCGCCGCTCTGGCTGGCAGCCAGCTGTCTCCGGAAGGGCCCCCCGCAGCTGCATGCTGTGGCCAGAAGGGTCAGGGGCAGCGTTAGGAGGGGATGGGCTCGGGGGGGGGGGCGAAGTTTCGAGATTCGAGGTTCGAGGCTTTTGGGCGTTTCCGTCGGTTCTCGGCGTATTCCCAGCCTCGAGACGCTCTTCAGCGCTTGCGCATCGCCGAGGTCTTTCGGGCGGTGCACAGATCGCCCCGACCGGCTGCTGGAGGGCGGAGTTATGACCCGAAGTCTGACCGGGGGGCCACGTTACAGGTGGCGCTTGGCTCGGGGGGGATGCACCGACGCCCAGGCGCCCATTTATCGCTGACAGGGGCCTGGCATTATGATGACCAGAAAGAATTTCGAGCACCAGAAAATGTGCCGAAACTCTAGGGCTTTCACGTGTCGGGCCCTGAGAGACACTCGTTCGACACTGTTTCGACACTGTTTCGACACTTTTACGGGTGCTCGAAATTATGTTTGGGATGTGGTCCTTAAATGCGATGGGGGCAACATAAGCCCCCTGCAGGAGGGTTCGGGGCAGGGGGGAGCGACACTCTTGGGATATGGGCGTCGGGGCATGCTTCTCACTGCTGTGGTTGCGTTCGCCCAGCTTCGGGCCCCTGGGGCCCTCAAGGATCGACCCGTCTCCAGAAGTGCAGCCGAAAGACGCGGTCGAGGGCTCCAGCTGCGAGTTTTTACCATGCTGCCACTTTTTCGCGACGTCTTGGCGACCATATGGCTTCACATTTTGGCGACCATGTGTATTACCGTATCGTTTGGGGGCGACCATGTGGGCGACCATAGGGGCGACCATCTGGCGATCAGTTTCATGCCCGCCAGGCTGGTAAGGTTCTAGGAACGTCATTGCTCTGGCCCCCCGTACGTTTATTTTGACCGGCCGAGGAGAAGGGCGTGTGGGCGCCAGTGACAAGGGTCGTCACCAGGTCCGCCACGGGGTCGGGCGCCGAGGCGGACCAGATGCAGCGGGATGCGGACGCCTTCAACCAGAAGTACCCAGTGGACGACAGGACTTACGATTTCCTGCTGGACTCGTCGCGCGAGGTCCGGGCGTCCGCAGAAGTGTTCCTGGCTCAGGGTGGCCCCTCGGCTGCCAGTGAGACCCTGGCGGCCTCGGACGGCCCCAGAAGTCAGGCCGCCGACGTCTGGAGCAAGCTTCTGGACGGCGGTGATATCCGGGGGGCCGCTTCCAGGCCCTGGGATCGGAACACACCTCCAGGACGAGGGCCAGGCTTCCAGCACGGAGTTTTGAGAGGCCCGGGGCCGAGAGGCCCCGCAAGGGTCGGCATGGGGCGCCCCTGGCCGGGGCCACGCCGGCGTGGGAAGGCACGGCCTTGCGCACAGGTGGCTCGAGGGGCCCGTGGAGTCCAGCCTGGGCTGCCTCGGGGGACCGACGGTGCGCACCTCCCCCGCCCTGACCCTCCAGGAGGGCTAAGAAACTGGCGCCAGGACGCCGACGTCCTGATTCCTGTCGAGGTCTGAGGCAGTCCAGATAGATCTATAGGTCTGGAGTGCTATTTTTTCAGCACTCTGGGAGGTCAGGGCAGGGCCTCTCCGTGCGGCCGTCTCCAGAGGCCCTGGGCCCCGATCTGCCGACAGCTCTCCGCCGACCTTCCCCCAGCGGGGCCCCCTCCGCCGAGAGTTCCCTCCCCCGGGGCCCGCCGCCGAAGGCGGGGCCCTCCCGCCCGAGGTGCAGCTGCGGGTCATCCGGGAGTTCAGGACCGCCCGGGTGCAGCGGGACTACTCCGAGCTGATGATGGCGTACATCTCGAAGAGGAAAACAGCGCCACGAGCAGAAGCTTTTGGCGGTCCGCGCGGATGTCTTGGATCCGCGCTGGGCCCCCCCCCCCCCGGCGGCGCCTCCGGCGCCGCCCCTGGCGCCCTCCGCGTGCCAGGGAAGGGGGTCCGGCGCAGATCCAAGAAATCCGCGCGGAGCGCCAACAGTTTATGTTTCTGCCGCTCTTTCTCCTTCTGGCATCCGGAAGTGCCGTGCGGACGAGGAGTTCGAGCTCCTGCAGGGCGGCGGGGCGCGCCCCGCGGCCTCCGCGCAACCGCCTCTGCGGCAGCCGGCGCCGAGAGGCCAGCCAGGCGTGGCGCCCGCCGGTCCTTACGCGGGCGAGATGTTCCAGGCTCGATCGGCGGAGCTGATGATGATGACGACGCTGATGGTAATGATGATGGTAATGATGATGATGATGATGATGATGATGATGATGATGATGATGATGATGATGATGATGATGATGATGATGATGACGATGATGATGATGATGATGGTGATGATGATGATGATGATGCCGATGATGGTGATGCTGGCGACGATGGTGATGATGTTGTTGATGATAATGATGTCTGAA